ATATACAGTGCTTGCTTGTAGCATGTAGTCCGGTTTGGTAACACAGAGCACTCTTCTGTAACATACAGCTCACGGTGGGTGATATACAGTGCTTGCTTGTAGCATGTAGTCCGGTTTGGTAACACAGAGCACTCTTCTGTAACATACAGCTCACGGTGGGTGATATACAGTGCTTGCTTGTAGCATGTAGTCCGGTTTGGTAACACAGAGCACTCTTCTGTAACATACAGCTCACGGTGGGTGATATACAGTGCTTGCTTGTAGCATGTAGTCCGGTTTGGTAACACAGAGCACTCTTCTGTAACATACAGCTCACGGTGGGTGATATACAGTGCTTGCTTGTAGCATGTAGTCCGGTTTGGTAACACAGAGCACTCTTCTGTAACATACAGCTCACGGTGGGTGATATACAGTGCTTGCTTGTAGCATGTAGTCCGGTTTGGTAACACAGAGCACTCTTCTGTAACATACAGCTCACGGTGGTGATATACAGTGCTCGCTTGTAGCATGTAGTCCGGTTTGGTAACACAGAGCACTCTTCTGTAACATACAGCTCACCGTGGTGATATACAGTGCTTGCTTGTAGCATGTAGTCCGGTTTGGTGACATGAAGCACTCTTCTGTAACATACAGCTCACGGTGGTTATATATAGTGCTCGCTTGTAGCATGTAGTCCGGTTTGGTGACATGGAGCACTCTTCTGTAACATACAGCTCCCAGTGGTGATATACAGTGCTTGCTTGTAGCATGTAGTCCGGTTTGGTAACACGCAGCACTCTTCTGTAACATACAGCTCTCGGTGGTGATATACAGTGCTCGCTTGTAGCATGTAGCCCGGTTTGGTGACATGGAGCACTCTTCCGTAACACACAGCTCACGGTGGTGATATACAGTGCTCGTTTGTAGCATGCAGTCCAGTTTGGTGACATGGAGCACTCTTCTGTAACATACAGCTCACGGTGGTGATATACAGTGTTCGTTTGTAGCATGTAGTCCAGTTTGGTGAAATGGAGCACTCTTCTGTAACATACAGCTCACGGTGGTGATATACAGTGCTCGCTTGTAGCATGTAGTCCGGTTTGGTGACGCGGAGCACTCTTCTGTAACATACAGCTCACGGTGGTAATATACAGTGCTTGCTTGTAGCATGTAGTCCGGTTTGGTAACATGGATCACTATTCTGTAACATACAGCTCACGGTGGTGATATACAGTGCTTGCTTGTAGCATGTAGTCCGGTTTGGTAACACGGAGCACTCTTCTGTAACATACAGCTCTCGGTGGTGATATACAGTACTCGTTTGTAGCATGTAGTCCAGTTTGGTGACATGGAGCACTCTTCTGTAACATACAGCTCTCGGTGGTGATATACAGTGCTCGTTTGTAGCATGTAGTCCAGTTTGGTGACATGGAGCACTCTTCTGTAACATTCAGCTCTCGGTGGTGATATACAGTACTCGTTTGTAGCATGTAGTCCAGTTTGGTGACATGGAGCACTCTTCTGTAACATACAGCTCACGGTGGTGATATACAGTGCTCGCTTGTAGCATGTAGTCCGGTTTGGTGACACGGAGCACTCTTCTGTAACATGCAGCTCACGGTGGTGATATACAGTGCTCGCTTGTGGCACATAACTCTCCCTGATGACATGGATCTCTCTTCTGTAACATTCAGCTCTCTCTGGTGTTACACAGCACTCTCTTGCAAGTTGTAAGAAAAACCTCTCGAGCAGAATGTTCTAGTAAAATGCAGCACTCTCTTGTGATACATTCCCCTTGAAAAACATCTTTAATGAAAGAAACCAAAACAATAAAGACTGGTAGTGGTAATAGCACTGGTGATTGGAGAGAAGGGGTTTGGTTTTGCTGCAGTGCAGGTATGGCTAAGCAGACCTGAATGGACTTTGAGTCAAACAGTGAAGAGTAATTTTGTCCTAATCTGAAATTGTACAATGCTGGAACTTCTTTATGGAAGGGAAAGTCCATGCAAAGGATCAGGGGGAACGCTGTGACCAGACTGGTTCAAATCATAATGCAGGAGACAGCTGTGTTCCTCCCGAAATGAGATTTAGGATTTGGCACTGCAGAAGCTTCACACTGCAAGCAACACTCTGGGCAGACCTTGCTGCATGATTCAGTCAATGACAGGAGAGCATTTCTGAGGAAGAAATAAGTGCAAAGATAAATAATAAAATATACACTAAACATTAGTATTATCCTACCACTCATTCGCACGGGTAACAGCCGGCCCGTACAGATCCGTGCTACATGCACGGTCGTATAGGGCAGCTCCCGGGAAGGACAGGTGATGCGTGTGATTACACGAAGCAGCCTGTTCTTCTCTATGGGAGTACGCGGCTGTATGCCGCTCTACGCTCACCCAAACTGCACGTCCATACGGGTGCGGGTGTCCCTGCTCGGACGCAGACAGAATCCACTAGCCAATCAGGAAGCTGGATGGCACGTCATGATATGCCTCTTGCCTTTCTTATTGGCTAGGAAACTGGCTTCACTTGTTCCCCCCGACTTAAGCTCACCACACGTTACAATCTGATTGGACAATCTCCTTTAGATCTAGCAACAGCTATGTAGTGCAAGGGCCTGTCTGACTGGAAAGGTTAGGTAGGTCCTTATATTACATAGTGTAGGGAAATCTAAAGTTAATTGTACAAAGATTGTAACATGTATGGTGTAGGGTTGCCACCTGTCCAGGATTCACCCGGAGGGCCAGTTTCTGAGTCTTGTGTCCGGGTGTAGGGTCAGCTGACAACTGGACACAAGACGCTAAGTGCCAATACCAGCACTTTACATTTTTTGACAGATGTGTGGCTGCAGAGGTCCCCAGCAGGTTTGGGCCGGCCCGCACATCTCCTCCTCTGTCACGCTGCTTGCTTCCGGTCTCCGGGAGGGACACCGCACAGCAAAGCAAAGCCTGCATAGCCCACCCGAGACCCCACATAGCCAGCTGAAAACCTGCATAGCCCATCCGAGACCCCACATAGCCAGCTGAAACCCTGCATAGCCCACCTGAGACCCCACACAGTCACCTGAAAGTGCACATAGCCCACCTGAGACCCCACATAAACACCTGAGAGCACAATTAGCCTACCTGAGAGTCCACTTAGCCACCTGAGATCCTGCTTAGACCACCTGAGACCCCACACAGCCACCTAGGAGTCCGCACAGCCCACCGGAGAGCCTGCACAGCCCTGGTAAGAGTCTGCACAGGCCACCTGAGACATCAGGGAGCCACCCCGGAACAATACAGAATATGTAGCTTCATATTATTTTGTTTTGCTGTATAATGTATTGCTGTGATTTGTAGTCCTCTATAGCTGGTCTCCTTACTCTCTCCCTGGCTGCCTATCCTCTATATTCTCACAAAAAAAAATTCTGCGCATGACGCTAGAGTGTATGGTTGAGGTATTGCCGCCTCCTGACCACTTTACTCTGCTCCATGTTGGTTTGCATTTCAAAGGGACAGTGCAGCCTGCCGCCCGTCTGAATGAAGCCTTCTACTCACCTCATACCTCGCTCTAGCAAGCCCCGGCGCTCTCCTCCTCTCCCTGACGCTCTGGGTTGTGGGCGGGCACTTGCAGTCTTCAATGCAGGTTATTGGCCCTGCATTGTACCTTATGATGTCAGTGTGTGGGTGCCAGCCGGAGCGTCTTAAAGAAGCGGCTGGTCACGCTGATAGAGGGTGCTTTCCAGAGCGAGCAAGAATTTATTACCCCTTTCTCCTGCACTCCAAGACTTAACGAGTGTTTAACCCTTGCAGTGCGGGGCGAATGCCCACTTCAAGGGTAATTAATATGTAATTCCCAGTGTTGGGCTTTCACTATATGTTCATGGGGTGGTGACAGGGTCTCAGCATGTAAAAACATTGCTCAGGATGGTTATGTACTGAGTTTCCATCAAAGTCCACAGGTACCTCAGCTCCAGTGATGTCAGCCAGCTTCTTCACCAGCGCTGACATCTTCTCCCCGGCTTCTTTTGGATACTGGGTCTTCGGTCGCCTTGATTGGCTGGCAGGATAAAAACATAACTCCAACACTTGTGACTAGCTCATTCATCCCGCCATTGTGGCGTGTCGAGTGCACATGCGCAACTCAGTGTATAATCTAAAGCAGAGGTAGGCAAACTCCAGCCCTCCAACTGCGGTGAAACTACAAATCCCATGATTCATCCGTCCCTGGGAGTCATGCCTGTGGCTGAGAATCTTGCGGTGCCTCTTGGGATTTGTAGTTCCACAACAGCTTGAGGGTCAAAGTTTGCCTACCGCTTATCTGAAGAATAGTGCAAAGTTTATTTTATTGCAGAGCAAACATAGCAGGTCTGTTCTATAATAAAAAGCCTGCCTGCAATTTTTTTCCTTTGGTTCCACTAAAACACTGTATACGTATACGTATATATATATATATATATATACATACACATATAATTTTTTATTTTATTGACCCAGTGTATGCATGTTTAGAACGTTACAACGGCCACTGGATTCTAAACATCATTGTCTAACTGTAAAGTCCGTTGTGGCAAACATTGCAATGGTTAGTGCCATGATGTGAGATGCTATTCCTTCACACACACACCCCACCCAAGCATCTCAATTTTTTTTTTCTTTGATTGACCCAGTGTACGCATGTTTAGAACGTTAGAACAACCACTGGATTCTAAACATCATTGTCTAACTGGAAAGTCCGTTGTGGCAAACATTGCAATGGTAAGTGCCATGATGTCAGATGCTATTCCTTCACACACACCCCACCCAAGCATCCCAATTTTCTGCCTCCATTCTTCCTGCAGCATGACTCTCCCAGCCATGACCTCACACAGCTCAGAGCAGCAGCAGTAGTCTGCCACAAAGAGAAACTCACATTGACAAGCTGCAAAGCCAATGAACGCACAGAAAGGACACCGGCTTCCCCGGGCCTTCCCTTTCCATTGGCTGTTTTATCCCAGTAGGCGGGACATTCCGTAACGCCACATGCGAGAGCATCAGGTGAGAGATTACAGAGAGGCAGGACGAACGACCAACCACGGCTCTCGGCCACAGGCTCCCTCCAATGACAGACAGCGTAACGGTTCGAAGTGACGAATCGCTGCGCACCAGGGGCGTGCCTCAGTATATATATTCCCGCAGCTGTCGTAGCTGGATAATAGTTGCTGCCAAAAGAAGCCATGACAACGACATCTACGTTCAAGGGCCTGGACCCCGAAGGCCGCAGTAGCTCCAGGTGAGACATGTTAGCCTGAGAGTGCGGGGCTGCCCTTTGTTATTGGAGAGGCCGTCTCTGCTTTATTCTCTGCCCATTAGTGGGGTTATAGTGATGGGAGAGGTGTGATGTAGTGATGGTCTGGCAGGTTAATGGGTGAGTGTGAATCCTAGGCTGTGTGAGGGGCGATCCGTGCTGGATGGATGGGTGCGTGCTGTAATGGGACATTATTTTGTGAGATCCGCTTTTCCTTTCTATCTCCGTCAGTTCATGCTGCGATGCTGCAGTGCTGCCTGTGCCCTACCCATACGCCTCAATGGATGGATGTGATTTCTGTTACTACAGGCTCAGCCTTTGTCATCCTGTTTCCTCCTGCCCTGTCTGCACACGATCTTCTCCCCAGGGATGGTACTGCGTAGTCACTGTCTGTGCCCTACTTGTGTTGGGTGAGGCTCCTCATCTGCCGTCCTTCTATAACAAAGGAAGTGGGCTAGCCTGTATGATGAGCAGCATGGCTACATCTGTTTCCTGTTAGATCAGCATTTTTGGGTAGTATGACTGGAAGAAATGGCTCACACCTGTTATAGAGGGGCTGCTGGATCAAAACTAAAGCTGAATAAGATAATATTTTAAATTATAAGAGCAAATTAAACTAGAAGGCAACCTAAACCTCAGAGTAGCCCTTTGCAGTAAATCTTGCGTGTATCAGGAACCAGCAGGCATTGGAGCCATGGATGAGGCTGGCTGCACCCATCTGCTTGACAGTTGACTTTCTGACCTAACACAGAGCTTGCTTCCAAGCAGGTGCAGGCGCTGTCCAAGTATTCAGCTGCTGAATGCATCAGCTGGCAGTGGAAGATTTATCCATTCATGCTGTATATAGCGTGGGTGGAGGCATTTCTTAGATTCCCCCCTCCCCCCAAAAAATCTATTGGTGTATGGTCAGCCTAAGATCTTTTAATTTAATGCCTGATTCTGGCCACAAGATAAAAATTGCCTTGCAGTGGGCTCCTCAGATCTGTGCTGCCTTATCCCTGTGAGCGGTGACCGCACCATGCTGGCGTTGTCTGGCTTCGAGCTAGTTTTGAACCTCTTCCCCAAATGTACCTTACTAAAGCCCACCCACCACCTGAAGAGGAAGCATTCAGATAAAAGCATTGGCAATCACTTGACCACGTCAAAGTGCTGGATTTTTATTTTTTTTATTAAAAAAAAGCTAAATGGAGAGAGAATCCACTGCAAGAGGTTTTTCTCCATCTGAGATGGGCCTTAACGCAAATAAAAAAAAATCTTCCTCCAGACTAGGGGTGCACCAATACCGGTATTTTGGTACCCAGTACTGAATTTTTTTCTTTCGGTACTCACCGATACCAATTACCGAGTAACGGAAGTCCTATTCAGGAAGCCATGTGGCGTGTAATGACTCGCCACCTGGCTTCCTGATTAGCCAGGCAGTGTGTAAAGACTCGCCACCCAGCTTCCCGATTAACAAGTCTGTCCCCTCTTACCTTGGTATGTCCAGTCTGTCACCCCCAGGGCCTCTCCAGCCAGAACATGGCCTTCCTCTGGTACCCAGCCAGAGCCGTCTGGCCAATCAGGAAGCCGGGCGGCGTCTAATGACCCGACGCCCTGATTTCTGATTGGCCGGGAGGCTGGCTCCTTGCTCCCTTGTCATGAGATGACGAGGGAACATGAAGCCAGCTTCCCGGCCAATCAGAATGCCGGGCGCTGCGTCATTACACGACGCCCGGCTTCCTAATTGGCCAGCTTCCCGACCAATCAGGAAGCTGGGCAGCGCGTCATTACTCGGTATTGGCACCGGTATCGATACTAGTATCGGTGCATCCCTACTCCAGATCTTTTTGACCTATTTTGATGTGGTCATGTGACCAGCAATACCTTATCTGTATTCTTCCTCTAGGCAGTGGTTGGGATGTAGTGAAATAACTGAGGCTGAAAAAGTAGAACCAGTGGGAGCTGCATGAGATAAAGGGGATCGATTCTCTTGGATGTCTGTTTCATGCAGACTTGAGCAGTGGTATCTAGGGCTGCAACTTACTATTCATAATTTGTTATTTTGTTAATCGGCTAAAAAATACCATCCTCAATTTTAAAATAAAATGCAGTGTTACAAAACGTTTTCTTCAGCATAACTGCACGTACCTCCCGCAGCACAATGTCAGGACAGAAGAGAAAATTAAGCTTCCTACACTTTTTTTTTGTTTTTTTCGATTGTAAGCACATGGCGCTTGAATAGCTTCAGCCAGGGAATGGCAGCTGCCAGTGGCAAGATTCTGCAGACGGCAACTGAATGTAAATACAGAAGGTAGCGGGTGGGTACAATAGCCAGCCTGCTATTGGCCATTACAGATTTCAATAGCAGGTCGGCTATTGCACCCACCCACTGCTTGCGGTGCCCTCCTCAAATCTTGGAGGAGAGAGAGCTAGGGGATCCAACTAATCAATAATGAGAATACTTGGCAACTATTCTCATTATTGATCCATTTAGGTGGTATCAGAATGGTGCAGTCAATAGGAAAAGTGAGTATTTACACGGCTTTCACAAGTATAGCTTAAGGCCTTGTTCACACCAAGCGCGGAGCAGATCCGGACCAGAGCAGGTGCAGACCGGATCAAGCAGTGTAGAAAAAGGGTCACTTTACCGTGAACTGTAAATGCTATACCAGTGGGGATAGGCTTTAAAGACTTGGCTGCAGTATTGCTTGGATGTTATAGTGCATAGCATGCAATAAATGGACATCATCTTACATGGGGGCCTTTATAACTCAAAGCTGAACGCTGGCAGATACAAGACACTTGTGTATTCTATATGGTATTGCTACAATGTAAACCTTGTTGAACCCCTGGGGGACCAAGCACTTTGTATCTGTACCTCCGCCTCAGGCAGAATGTCGCTTTATGGGTGTTCTTAGGTTGGCATTAGTCAGCACTTTAGCTATTGGCCACTCTAATCTCTGCTTGTAAAATGGAGCATCGATGGCTGCAGGAAAAGGTGTTATTCATGTGCGGAGATTGGCACTTTAGGTGACTTCGTAGACTGCTGGTTTTGCAGCAGGATCAGGTGTTTGCTGGAGATCAGCTGTAAGTGTTTCCTCGGGTGCTGCTTCCACTCCCATTACTTTATCTTCAGGCTGGCTGGATCAGATGCTTTATTCAGGGCATTGTTACTGTACTCACAATAGCAGATCTGTCAGTGCTGGTAGATCCACTGCTATTGTTTGCATACATTGAGATGTCCTGTCCATCCCCCCCCACCCGGATCGAACGGGACCAAGTGCTACATGCACTTAGTCCACAGGGAATTCAGCAAGGCACTCTACATTGTGGTCTTTAAATGCAAGCAGTGCGAGTACTAGACTAGCCTCTTGCAGAGCTCAGACTGGGGGGAGGGGGAGTGACACACACAGTGAATCGGATGTGCTACACAGCAAGAAGCATGCTGATCGGAGATATGGGTAACAGATGAGCTCGCTGTTCAGTAAGGTTGGGGGTGGGGAGGAGACCTGTAAGTGTTGCTTAATTGCAGACAATTGGTTCCCCTGCTAGGGTTGTGCTCTGTGGCAGAGCTGTGAAAAATCTAGACAGGAATGTTTAACTTCCTAGTGGTAGAAAAAATGGCTCAGATGTTTCTTATCAGTAATTGTTTGGTGCTCCCTTTTTTAATTTTCATTGTTGTATATATTTGTTTATATAATTTATTGAGCCTTTACAGCTCAATTCCAGATTGTCAAAACCTGTAAATGATCTGCTAGCAGCTCCAGTTGCTATACTCGCCCAGTCTCTGGTGCGGTCTCCCTGCAGCCTTCATGATCATTCTTGCAGCATTGCTCCTCTTCCAGGTTGAATGGCTTGAACATCATTTAACCCACGTCTGTGAGCGCAGGGTCAAGACCCTTCCTCGGGGCCGGTTCAGTCTGAGCTGCACATGTATGGTATGAACAGGTTATTCACATTCAGAACAATTGTTTACTTTGTGCCCTGTTCACCATACATGTGATGGCGTGCAGAAAAATGCAGAACACACATGGTGTGAACAAACTTAACCCTTTTGCTGCCATCCGGTGTCCTATGTCGGCGGCAGCAGCAGCAGGGCCCCTGTAAATGGACTCTTGAGTCTGTGTAGAGGTGGCCACACCTTACAATTCTATTTTCTTTGTCCTGTCATTGCACCTTCATTCAGTTTCTGCACAAATAGCCCATCATGCACAGACCAATGTAAATTCTGATAATCGTTCGTCAGCAATACTAACTGGCTTTCGCAGATCGACAGAACAGATTTTCGTTTGCGCATGTTGTGTTTTGTTGTACGAAAACTCCACTAATCCATTTTTTTCATCAGTTTCAACAAAAGGTTTCTAGTCTGCCTGTTCAAGTAAATTCTATTGCATTTGTTTTTCAAATAATTGTAAGGTGTATGGGCACCTTTTAGTCACTGTCGGCTTTAAGGTGGCCATACACCTTACAACCATCGCACGACTTTTGTTGTGCGATGGTTGTAAGGTGATTCAAATTTCGTACAATCCGCCCATCTTGGACAGGCAGATCGTACTTGCGATCATTGCAAGCCCTCTCCGCTGAGGGGAGGGCTTCCGATGATTGCAGTGCTGAGCAGGCAGTGTGCTCTTGCGCACACTGGCCCATGCGGCATTAGTCTTCCGAGCATGCCACCAACCCGCCAATAATCGTATTATTTTTGGCAGGTTTTCCAGCGTGCTCGGAACACTAAAGTCGTGCGACCTTACAGTAGAAGCGGTCACATGCTGCCCATACACCTGCCGATTATCGTACAATCGCAGGATCACCCGCTATTATCGTACGATAATCGGCAGGTGTATGGGCACCTTAAAACTGGATTCAATTCCGGTGGCAGTAAAGCTGCTCGCTTCCAGATGAATGCATGATGTGTGCTTGATCAGCTTCAATGGGCTGAAGGGCTCGGAGCACCTGTCACCACTAAGTGCTATCAAATCAAATTTTAAAAAAAGTTAAACAAAATGCATTTAAACACCCAGAGTCCCCTGTCCCCACGTACACACTAACGCAAATGATTATGCCACACATGTTGGATACTGCTGTATGCGCCAGAATGAGAGCAAGACTTCTAGATTTCATATTCATGGTTTTAATCTAAATTGATGATCTGTACAGGCTTTTAGTGTCCCCTATGGACAATTTGGGGTACCATAGTGTTTTTTTAAGTTAAAAGTTTTATTAAAAGATAATGCAGCATACAGGAGTAGGTAATTGGCAAGAAAAACAAGAACATATTTCAACCAAGTCATAGAAAGGGCACATTAAAGGGACACTAAAACTGAAAAACAATACAATTGTGTGAAAACCATTTCTCAGCATGTAAGATAACCTACTCCCCAGGAGGCAGCTCCAGAGTGGAATCCCAGCAGAGAACTCCAAATGGAGAGAAAAACAAGAGATCTCAAAGGGACTCTTAACAAGGGATCATAAATCTGCTAAATTAACCAGTATAGAGGGGGAGCTGTTTACAAGGTGAGCATATTAGTCTGAAAAACAAAAATGGATCCAGGCACACCATGAGGAGTTAAATTTCTCCTCCGTATTCTTTACCGACGAGGTAAAATCTTCCATTGTGTAGATACAATTTTTAACTCTTGATATCCACGTCTGGGCCGTAGGAGGCTGGGAACTTTCCCACAGTGGCGGTATACAAGCCCTGGTTGCATTGACCAAATGAATGGTGAGAGAAGATTTGTACTTGATGGACTGGAGAGGCAACTGAAGGAGGCACACTACCGGCTTGTCCTTAAGATCCACTATGGTCAAGTGAGTAACAATCACATGAACAGAGTCCCAGAACGGCTTGAGCTTTGGGCAGGACCAAAATATATACACGATGGTGCCATGAGCTGAGTAATCTCCAGCACGGTGATGAGATGGAAGCGTTCATTTTATGAAGCACCCAAGGAACCCTGTACCACCTCACCATAATCTTGTATGCTGTCTCCTGGTCACTACTAGCTATAGATTTGTGAGCAAAGGACAAAATATCAGTGCGCTGTTCCGGGGTGAATGTCTTGCCTAGGTCACGTTCCCATTTTTTTAAACTGGACAAGAATCCGAAGCGGAGGATAACATTTTTATAGATTAGGGGAGATAATGTGACAGGCAGGAGGAATTCCTCCACACATTTTCAAAGGCGTAACAAGGCCTATCCAGTTTCTGAGCTTCGGGGATAGCACAAAGAAAATGGTGAAGCTGGCATGCCGTCCAGGGGACGATCTATGAGTGACATAAGCAGTGCATTCCAGTCTGATTCTGGCCAGAACGCACCGCCTTGCATTGCGTCCGGCTCACTTTTTTGCCGGGCTGGAGGGGGCACGGTGGGCCATTGAAGTGAATTGCACTGTAGCCACGCCCTCCGGCCACAAGGCGATCACCCGCATAGGATCGCAAGGCACATTGCACTGCACCACACTGCAGGCACAATCAAGATAGTGGTTGTGGTCGGAGGGCGTGGCTACTGTGCCATTCACTTCAATGGTGCCACGTCCCCTCCAGCCCGGCAAAAAAAGTCAGCCGGCTGCGATGCAGTGCATTCCAGACAGAATTGGACCGGAATGCACTGCATATGGTGTGCCCTAACCTTGAAGGTCAGGGCAGGAAAGCCATTCAGCCGACTCCCAAAAATCTAGTAAATCAAATGTGGCACCAGCAAGGAGACAAAGTAGACTGCTATTCTCTCATCTGGGGCCAGTCTGGATCCCCAAAGACAGGGGTAAGTGGTGACTGGAAGGGGGAGAGAGCAGGGTGTTTCATGGTCTTCCAGGTTACGATGGTTTTAAAACAAGTAAAACCCTTTACTTGGCTTACTGATGGAACGTGTCTAATATTTAGCCCAAATATTTGTAATCAGAATTTTCTGCAGGTGCACAGGAGATCCAGTGGTTAGCTTGAGGGTTGTGGGTTGATTCTGGATGGCAGTACACAACTTGTCTTTGGCTGAAACATTATAGCTGTCCTGGAGTTGCGCAAATACAATGAACTTGGATGACTTCCACCTTAATGGGAGTTCTGTGTCAAACCATTTTTCAGTCAGCAGTTCTTGTCTGTATGCAGAATAAGTCTGCAATGGAAGTCCCCACGTTTGTCCTGGAATTTTGTTGCCTTCAACCATAGCTTATGGAATCTAAATTACAGTAAACTTGCTAAATTATCATAAAGAATAAATATCCCCCGATCGAGATTCCAACATAGGATAGCAAATACCAAGTATTGTTCCAAAATGTATTGGCCTTAGTCGATTGAGTATAGAAACGCACATCTAAAACCTCCTAAAAAAAACAAAGCCCTTTCTGTACCGACCATGGCTTCAATAATTATATCTAATGTAGACCTGATCCCAAATAAAAATTCAGTCTTTAAATATGTTCCTGATGAAAGCTATAATGAAGACAGTCATCCTCGTTTTTGGAGTCCATAAGAGCATCCACACCTGTAATTGGCAACATGTAGCGAACCCCTGCTGATAAGATATTGAACCTTTTTCTACCAAGGCTCAAGTATCCAACGGTGTTATGTGGTTTCTGGAACTTGTAATATCAATTAAAGGAGAACTGAGGTGAGTGCTTTTCACTCACCTCATAGTTCTAGCCGACCTGTGACAATGAGACTGTCACAGGTCGGCTCAGTAGATCGGGAGGTGAGCGAACATATACCGGGTTCGCTCGCCTCCCGATCCTGTCACAGCTCTCTGCCGTGACAGGGGAGGGGCTGGATTCCCCTCGACCTGCTCCGATCTGCCAGCGCTGACTGGCGGAACGGACGGGGGAGGGGTGGGTACAGCTGGCTCTGCCTCTAGATAGGCAGAGCCAGCTGTCACTCACGCAGCTGGGCGGATCCCGTCATCTAAGACGTGATCCGCTGCGGCGTCTCGGTATACCGCGAGCTGTAGCTCGCGGTATACTGAGCTTAGGGTAACGGGAGGACGCTAGTTTGTGTCCTCCCGTTACCCTAAGGAGAACTATGGGGAAAAACACTGACCCCATAGTTCTCTAATATTTCAGAACCATCAAACTGCTGGACCAAATCAACTGCATCTATCAGATGTGATCATTCATCATTCGTTGATTATCAACATGGAAATACCATAGTATACTGGTGTCCACTATTCAAAATGCTCACCTCAAGCAGTCACATCAGAGGTAGTGTATCTCTTTTTACATGTATGTTACCCATTCATAGACCCGGGTTAACAACCTCTTAGCTGATATTATCATGTGTGCAGACATTCAAGCATATATGATGTTTAAGGATAATGTACTTGTTTCATTACTGTGGAGACTTTGTTCCAAATGTTCTATTGAAATGATCACAAGATGAAGCCAGTATAATCCAATTGTGAAGTCAATGTTTATGACATTAATAGCTTTAATCAATCCACCACCATTGCCAGAGAACAGCTAGCCACCCTAAACTTTAAGTTCTTCCTCTAGGATCCTGCGACCTCCAGGTGGAGGCTCCAGCTTCTCCTTTGGTGTTGGCGATTCACAGAAGCAACAACCTGTTAGAAGACATATGATGGCCTCCAACATATTTGGCATTCCAGATGATGAACCAACTCCTGCATCTCATGCTTCAGAAACAGGTAAATGCACGCTACTATGCAAACATTAAGATTCTAGGCTCTTTTATTGCTGTGGGGTGTAATACTGCATTATAAATATGGAGGTCTGCTTGTAGCTCACCACCTAAAACCTTGTCCTATGTGAAACAGTACCATACTTATTTAATGTACATGTGTCTTAAAGCTGCTGCTCAATGCTCCCCCTAAATATCTGATCTGAAACCTGAATATTTACTTAAAGCAGAAAAAAATTGACCCTTAATCTG